GAGCAGGTCTCTAATCCACTGGCACTTGACTCGACAGTGCGTGTGTTACATCCTTTTTACAATCTCTAGATTAGAAAACACTGCATTCTGTCAGTAACTCGGCAGTAACGTATAGAGACCTTGGCTTGTAACTATACTCTAATTACTATTTTGAAAATTATAACACGTTAAATTACTCCGTTACAAAAAAAGTAATGAAATTACAGTAACGCGATACTAAGTAATGCATTACTGCCCAACACTGACTAAAATACACTAAAACTAAAACTAAACTAAACTAAACTAACTTGTCTTTTGGGACAAGTGTAAATTTTAAATTAATTTGCTATAAATAAATGATAAAAGCTTGTTACTATGAGATAAAAAATAAAGGAAATTGTGACTTTTTTCACAATTCTGACTTTTTTCTTGACATTATACAATGTAATATAATTTCAGAATTCGGAGATAATAACAGAATTGCGAGAACAAGAGTCACATATCGTGAGATAAAAAAAAGTCACAATTACCTTTTCTATGGTGGAAACAGGCTTCCAAAAGAAAGAAAGACAGAAAGAAACAAACAAAGAAAAAAAGAAAGAAACAAAGAAACAAAAACAAACAAACAAACAAAAATTTTGGATACAACTCTGTAATCAAACCTAATAGCATGTACATAAGTCATATTTCTCAATAATCATTATTATTCTTCCACCAGTCTCTCAAGTCTAGAGAAACATGTTGTTGATCCAACCCTGCAGGAAACCCCTGCAATCCACCTGACATTATAATCTGGTGTTGTTTATATGGGTCACTGGCCAGTTTTCAGCCAGGCTCTGGATCAAAGGGCAGGATCAGCTGCTCCTGGCACTGCCCAGCTGGGTGCCACACTCTTCCAGTTCACCAAAGGTCGCACTCTTGGCCAGCCTGAGGTGTTCCGCCTCTACTAACGGGCATCCACCCAATGCCAACTGCTGAGTCTGTATTGTCATATCACAGAGTCCAGGTGGCTCCACCTGCTTGTTATTGTGGCTTGGATGATTGTGAACAAGAGTTGTTTGTGTCCAACATCACACATGCGGTGTCATTCACCTGTTCGCTTTCCATTAGCGTAAAACCAATTTACTAAAATGTAAAGATATGCAGAGTTAGGCTGTCAATAGAAAGGCTGTTTGTGTCCAAACAGTGAGCTTACTGATATTGACAGATCGATATAAATATCTATCTAGCAAAGACATTATAATATAGTGTACTCACCTCGACAGTGGACTCCTTCGTCAAAACCATCCTCACAGTCTTTCACCCCATTACAGAGTTTGTTGAAGTGAATGCACTTTCTCGTCCCGATACACTGTATGTGATTCAGAGGACATCTGACTATCACCTCCACCTTACCTAAAGAACAGAAAAGAATGAGGTTTACATACAGGTCTGGTGTGATTTTAGTTAAAACATATCATCCACACAGTTTCACTGTATTGTCAGTAATTACTTTAATAACTGCTAAGACAGTTTTATGCAAATCTACGTGGTTCAGACAAATGTCACTTGCTTTAATTTGCTAAGCTTTGAGGGATGCAAATGAAAATGGGAAACAATCCAGTTGATTGAATTCAGCTTAAAATGCACTGCCAGCCTCCGAGTGATTTTATATTGTGGCAAAAACTTTCCTTCAGCACCATTTCCTGTCGGTGGTTCTTTAGAGAAATGCTAAAAGATTGGTTAAAGGTTTCTCATTTACAATTCAGCCTTCCTCTTTCCTATCCTAATGAATGCTAATTTAATGAACAACTTAAAGCCAATACATCTCTTACTGTAAAAGTAAAGTTCTGCAATGCAATGAGGTTGCAGAAACTGTTTAAGCAAATTGGCATTTGTTTGAAAATAGAAATACTAACAATGTAGAAATGACTAATTATTACCTATTTATTACGAATCTGCAAGGACGGATTAAATTGATCAAAAGTGACATTAAATATGTAGTGTTACAAAAGATTTCTATTTCAAATAAATGTTGAAATTTCTCTTGAATGTCTCTTGAACTTTTTATTGATCAAAGAAGCCTGAAAACATATTAAGCAGCAAAAACGTTCACAACATTGATGATAATAATAAATGTTTCTTGAGCACCAAATAAGCATATGTGACCCTGGACCACAAAACCAGTCATAAGGGTACATTTTTTCGAAATTGAGATGTATACATCATCGACTGCTGAAAATTCAGCTTTGCATCACAGAAGTAAATTACAATGTCAAATATATGAAAGTAGAAAACAGCTATTGTAAATTGTAATTGTTTCACAATACTACTGTTTATTACTATATGCAGTGCACACTCACACAAACACACAATGCAATGCACTTTAAACATACAGTACTTTCTATAAACTAGGTTCTTAATATAAAACCAAAAAAATAATGAATTTAACGTTTATTACACAATGATTAGAATCAATATGTAGCCATAAGCATATAAAAACCGTCCAGAAACAACATTATTCAGACATTTACAAAGATAGCACTCCAGATAAACAAAGTTCACTAAAACAGGTTGTATAGAGTAAATGATAGCATTGCTGTAAATAGCCCTTTTCTCCATAAAAAAAATACATCAACAGTCTGTAAACGCAGCCACAAATGCAAATGTGTTTACTTGAAGGCATTACTCTGTACAGTAAACAGACGTTCGCATGTAGGCTACGCTGCTAAGCTATTCTGAATCACTCTGTGCGTCAGAGAAAGAGAGCAAGAGAAAGAGAGAATGAAAGAGAGAGACGGAGCCAAAGCCTCAGAGATATCTATTGACATGGCTGCACCAAGCAGCTGTTTAAAGATTCATGAGGCACATAGGTGACCCTCATCTACTTGAGCAGCCACAAGAAGACATAAAACACGTCTAAGTGAAACATCGACTTCCATCTCGCACACTGTGAATATGTCACATTGCACCTTAACTACATTGGTATCAATTACCATAACTGCAACACAGCCACTTAGCGTGAGATTTATAGCTCGTGTGACAGGACCTCTTACAAATCTCCGGAGTCCCAGTTTCCTCCGAGCTCTGATCCTACACCACTGAAAAAATCCTCCGGAAGAGTCGAGGTTATTCATCAGCTTTCATTTAGACTTCATAAGATAAAATGACGCTGTAATTAAGGGGGTAGTTTAATGGGCGATTGTCATCCCTTAACATATAACAAGCGTATGATTTATCCGCCGATGCACATTTATGCTTTTCAGATTTCACGAAAGCATCCCATTGTTCTCACAGTCGTTTTCCTTTTTCTCGGTCATTGAAAAAATGTGCCGAAACTTTTTTTTTTTCTAGACCACCTCTTTCCGAGCCCCAAGGATATTCTAAATTAGGGAAAGTCAAATGTAAGTGACCTCAACTTTGCATACTCATATTTCAAACGTGAGTACAAAAGGCAGGCTAATCAACCTCACAACCTCGTGGCTTTTCTTCAGAGAGCTGGAGGAGAAGATACTGGACAGGTTTTTTAATTAAAACGCCATTTGTTTTAAATCCTTGGCCATACATACATACACACACACACACACACACACACAACTCAGCAGATTTAACAGTGTCAGAGGGATTTTGGGGCCCAAATATGTTGATTAATAGCCATGCTAATTTTCAATTAAAACTGTTCAGATATACTGGCAAACATCTCTCTAATTATGCATTCATGAGGCGCTTTTCCATTATTCATGAGTAAATAACAATCAAGCAAAACAATCGAGGGGCCCATATCACATGCATTGCTCTGTTAACGCAGTGGAGTGAGGGGCTGTGACAAACTGTGATTATCCTAATAAAACTGCATTGTCAAATACAGAATCATTCCACTCACAAACTGATTGGGACTAATCTAATCAGATGAGAGGGAGAGATGAATATTCAGGAGTTTCAGATGCACCGTGCTGGATAACACAGATGGCATCTGTGCAGTTGAGGGATGATAGGAAATTATTTCTCTTCACCCTGTACTGAATTTGAAGCCAGATAGCACTCGCGGTGAAACATCCTCCATCATGAGAAAACTCATGAAAGTGGAGGCGGAAAACACATGCTTATCATACTGTAACAGATCGGCCAGGCTCCACCACCACCCAATCACAGCGATCCCTCTCACCTGAGTTCTGAGCACCAGCACCTGTCACTAATCAAGCACCTCATTAACCAGCCTGCATAAAAGCACACACCTCAGACACCCTCACTGTCCGGTCTCGTATACACGTAGAGGACTCAATGACTTTGCTACTACTTCCATTTGAATACTTCCTGCATTACTTACCTCCTGTGTTCCTCCTAGTGTCTCCTCGTCTCCAAGTGTCTCCTGTTCCTCCTTGTTCACGGATCGCTGAGGTGTGTGCTCCTCCTGCCTACATTCCAGCTCCTGTAAAGCCAAAGACTCGGATTCCCCCACTCATCATATCCTTCGAACTATTCACTCACCATCACATCCTCTGGACCCTACCCCAGTACTCTCTGTGACCAAATAAACCTGTTTTATAAATACTAACCTGTTGTGTCAGACCTCTTCTGTTACAGAAGACCGGACCAACACCGACGGCACAGATGAGTCACCCCGATCCATTCCAGGAGCTCGTAGACTCACTACGATGAGTGCTACGCAATCCATCGGCACCGTCACCCTCACCGGCACCGCCGCCATCCCCACCCATCACCTCATCCATCCCAACCAGCACTTCTTCGCCTAACATCATCGCTAGTCCCATGGCCCGACCGACGCCCTACTCTGGTTCGGCGGAGGAGTGCAACGGATTTCTCCTCCAGTGCAATCTCACATTTACGATGCAACCGCACTCATATCCCACCGACACCTCTAAAATTGCTTTTATTATCTCCCTGCTAACAGGACCTGCATTGCGATGGGCGGAAACGATCTGGACTCAGGCCAGCCCCGTCATTCACAATCTGCTGAACTTCCTGGTGCATTTTCGCGAGGTGTTTGGAAGGACAGACGGAGATACCGCTGTGGGAGAACAACTCTATCA